GTTTTTCTCCGGTACCGGGAACCGAACTCACGACCTTGCACTTGCCAGGCAGGCGCTTTGCCGCTGAGCTAAATCCCCAGCCCCTGAAATGCTATTTAAATGGAATTATTTAGAACTGTATGTAACCATAATGATTAGCTTTTTATTAATTTTTTCAAAATGCTGATATTTTAGCTTTTCCATGCTTATATTAGTGACTTAGGCAAAGGTGGGTCATAGAAATCTCAGAGAAAATCAGAACATAGTTTGACCAAAATTAAAATAAAAATACAACACAAAAAATTTTGTAGTATACAGCTAATGCAGTAATTAAAAGAAAAAAATTAGCATTAAATGCTTAGATGAGGAAAAAAGAAAGATCTCAGAGCATACAGAAATATACTTTCACCATACAGAAATTTAGAAAAGAAAAAGAAAACAGGAAGAGCAAATATTCATGACTTTGAAATCAGTAAAATAAGAGAAAAGAAATTAAAATCTATAGCTTCTTCTTTGAAAAGATGAATATAATTGATTCACTTCTAGAAAGGAGAGAGATATAGAGAAGAGAGATAGAGAAATTGCCATTACTAGGATCGAAAAGGAGATATCATTACAGATCCAAAACACATTAATAATGTAATAAATACTATTACAATGCTGTATAAATTTTTTGACAATTTAGATAAGTGCTTGAAAACGATAAACTTTCCAAACTTACCTGATATGAAATAGGTAACTTGAATTGTCCTACAATCATTAAAGGAATTAAATTCATAGTGATTTCATACCTTCTAACAAAGAAACTTCTAGGCCCAGGTAGTTTCTCTACCAAAAATTTAAGCAGAAATAATATTAACTACCCACAATATTTTCTAGAATATAGAAGAGGAGGGAACCAATTTCATTTTATAAGGGCCAGACAATTTCAGATCAATATCCTTCATGAGCAGAAGGGGAAAACAACCTTAAAGTAAATGGTATCAGTCATGATAAAGAAAGAATAATTTAACACAAAAAAGTGATGTTTATTGTGGAAATGCAACACTGGCTCAATAACTGATAATGTTAATATTGAAAATTATTGTATCAAGTGATAACAAAAAAGGCGTCTGACAAAAATCCAACACCCATTCATGATAAAATTATCTCCAAACCAGGACTAGAGGAAAATTTCCCCAATTTGATAAACAGTAGCTACAAATACTTACAACTGACAACATACTGATAAAAGACTGAATGCTTTCCTGATAACATCAGAAAAAATATAGACATCTGTTTTTACTATTTCTAATCAGCATTGTTCTAGGGCCTCTAGCCGGTGTGGTAACACAAGAAAAAGAAAACCATGCAGATTGGCAAGGAAGAAATAATGATGTTTTATCTGCAAACAAAATGATCATGTAAGTAGAAAATCAAATGGCATCTTAAAAAATTTTACTAATAGGTGACAGTAGAAAACTTGTAGTATGTAAAGTCCACATATAAAAATCAATTGTATTTATGTATACTATAATGAAAAATTGGAAATTGAAATTTAAAAAAATTGATTATTCAAAAAAACATTAAAATATGAATATTTAGAGGTAAATCTTACAAGATATAAAAAACTTGTGCCCCCAACATTATAAAATACAAAAGTAAGACCAAAATTTTGTCTATAAAACTAAGAATTTAATTGTTCTTCTTTTTCTAAAAGTTTGAGATGCAGCACTAGGCTATTTATTTGTTCTCTTTCTGTTTTCCTTATGTGTGAGTTCACCACTATAAATTTCCCTCTGAGGACTGCTTTCATTGCATCCCACAGATTCCGGTAAGTTGTATCTACATTTTCGTTTGTTTGTAGGTATTTTTCAATTTCTGCTTTAATTTCTTCTGTGACCCACTGGTTGTTCAGGAGGTTGTTATTTAATTTCCAAGTGTTTATATAGTTTTTGGAGTTCCTTTTGTCAATAATTTCCAATTTCATTGCACTGTGGTCAGATAACATGCTTGAGATAATTTCAATTCTTCTGCATTTAGTTAGGTATGCTCTACAGGCTAGAATGTGGTCTATTTTAGAGAAAGTCTCATGTGCAGAAAATGTAACCTCCATGTGTAAGCAACATTGTCTCACTAGTGTAAGAATCTGAAAGAGTGAATAAAAATTAGGAGGTATGGCAGACACTGTGAAACAAAAGGAAAATGCTCAAAAGTAAAGAGCAACTGGGGTGAGGGAAAAGAGAAAAGAAAGAAGGGGAAATTATGTATGTATGTATATCCAGGATAGCTAACATAGTTGTACTACTGACTTCTATCACTTTACTTAAAGGAAGAGTTAATGATTACTTATTTGACCTATCTTGCATATCTCTATTTGTTTTCCTGAGAAACCACTTTAAAGATATCAATACATAATACAACAACCATTGTTAATTTGTCTGTAACTCTGTATTGCTTGTATTGTTCCTATGCTATTTTGTAAATGGATGTCTGTTTGTTAATGTTTTCCTTCATTATTAAAATAAATTTTTAAAAAACTAGGAATTTACATTCATAAAAATCAAAATTTTCAAGAATAACAATAAATCTTCCCAAAGATGAGATCCTTACATATAAATCTAAATATGCACAGATTCTGAACAATAATATCTGAAAAATCCTGAAGAAAGAAGTTAAAGACCTAAATGAAAGGAAATCTACATCATGTTCATGGATTAGAAAAGTCCACATAGTGAGAGTTTCAATTCTCTAAAACAGCTAAAGTGATTTTGAAAAAGAATAACAGAATTGGAGGACTTGTATCACCATTTTATGAATTACTATAAAGCTTCAGCAAACAAGATAAAGGGCAACTAGCAAAAGGACAAAGGGCAACTGACAAAAGGATAAAAATAAATATTAACTGAATGGAACAGAAAGTCAAGAACTGGACCCACAAATATACATCCAGTTTATTTTTGACAAAATTGCAAAATCATTTCAATAGAAAAAATGAAGTGTTTCTAAAAATGTTGCTGGAACAACTGAGCATTTCTAGTCAAAATAATGGACCTTCACTTAAACCTCGCAGTTTCTTTTAAAAATCAATTCAAAATAAATTACAGTTCTCAACATAAAACCTAAAACTATAAGCCATTACAAAGTTCTTTATAACATAGAACGGTGATGGGGAAACTTTTACAGCTTTCACTGATAGCCTGCTTCAGCACATGTGCCATAGGTTCACCATCACTGACCTAGAATGAAGCAAAAGTCATAGACAACAATGCCAACACTCGTTCAATCAAAATTAAACACATTTGCTCTGCCAGAAAAAGAAAAATACATGCTAGAGAATGGGAGAAAATATTTATAGACAACATATCCAGTGCAGGATTTGCATTCAAATTATATAAAGAACTATCAAAACTGAATATGAAATAACCCGATTAAAATGTATGCAAAATAACTGAACAGACACTTCACTCAAAAATAGTATATTCAAATGAAAAACAAGCAAATGAAAAATGTTCAAAATCATTAAGGAAAGGTAAATGAAAACCACAGTGTGATAACACTAAATATCTACAGTATTTGAAAATTTAAAATTAAAATATTATGTATAGGGGCTGGGGATTTAGCTCAGCGGCAAAAGCGCCTGCCTGGCAAGCGCAAGGTCGTGAGTTCCGTTCCCGGTACCGGAGAAAAACCAAAAAAAAAAAAAAAAAAAATATTATGTATACCAGGTGTTTGCTTTCAAGGATGCACAGAAAACAGAAATTGCATACATTGCTGTTTATGATGCAAACTGGAAAACAGTTTGACAATATCTTATATAGTTAAATATACACTTACCATATGATCCAGCAATCCCACTCCTGAGCATTTACCCTAGAGAAATGAAAGTTACAAAAATATGTACATGAATGCTTACAAGAGTTCTACCATAACTGGCAAAACATGAAACAATCTACATGTCCTTTTATGGCTGGCTGGATAAACCATGGTTCATTCACAGTTCTAAAAAAGAACAAATTATAGGTATATGAATCAATTTGAACAGAAGCCAGCTCCAAAAGGCTACACGTTATATAATTCTATTGCATAATATTATATTATTTTGTAATATTATAATATTAGACAAAGCAAAAGAACTGGAAAACAATACTGGTTTTCAGGGATCAGTGATACATAAATGTGTGTTTTTAAAGGTACATAACACAAAAGAGTTTTGGGCTAATGGATCTGTCTGTACCCCCAATGTGTTGGTAACTATATGAATCTATACATACATTTGAATCTCAAAGCTATATGCCAGAACTAACAAATTTTACTGCACAATAATTAAGGGAAACAATACCTATGCTGGATAAAAAAGAAGTCTGCTGGTTAAATGCAGGCCAGTATTATATCCTTCCCCAAAGCTAATGCTAAAGCTAACCTTTGCTGAACAAAAAATCCTGACACCTGGCTGTAGTTTCCATTTCAACATCAATCTTACTTAAATCTCTAAGCTTTAAAAATTTAAAAATAAGATAATTTTCTAAAGTGTAATACTTTCAATTATACTAAATGCCATTGAACAATTCCCAACTTACATAAAAATTCACTTAACATGTCAAATGAAAATCAGAAACCTGTTTCCAAATCAATTATTTGAAGTTTTAAAATAATTACTAATATGACCTCTACAATGAAAACTAAAACACTGATGATAGGAAACAAAAAATGTAAAGATGTCTTATGTTCATAGATGTTGTGGTTTTTGTCTGTGTGTCCCCCCAAAGCCTCCTGTGGCCCTTGGGCAGGCTATTAGAGTTGAATGATTGTGGGTGTGACAGCTACACCCATGCTGGGGTGGACAGTTTGCATATGTAAGGGAGAGGAAAAAGCTGCTTGAGGCCATTCCTCATCCATTCTGTCCTGGTGTGTGTGCTTGCAGCTTA